AACTACGATGATAAAGCCCACTACTCGCCGCGCCCCGTTTAATTACTATCTCGTTGGTTTGATGTCAAATGCTAAGTGTGTGTTGTTTTAAATATTATCTGTTCCCACTCGATTTCTAATCTATCTTTGCGTACTTATTTTTAATTAGATATTTTATTAATAATTTTATCGCAGCATATTAATCTTTTATAGCTAACTTTTCTATTTCGCTATAAAAGTTGGTATCTATTGAGTATAGCGGTTGGCGATCAACGATTATCTTCCGGGCTTCATATAGGTATTTAAGTTTTATTAGGGAATAAGTGTTCATACATAAAGTTTGTATAATTTTTCTTCATATCGTGGATATACGCACGTACGTCTTCACTTATATCAGATGTAAAAATGTCGGGGATTATATTTGAGAGCTTTCTAGTTATAGCGCACAATCTTTAAAATCGTTATCATAAATATTATTAATGCGAAAGCAACAGACTGTTCATTTTCACAATTTAAAGCTAAACTTGAAAGAATATAAGACAGCTCTTATTACAAAAATGCCTGAAGTTGAAAAATGATTCTAAAAATATAAAAAATACTATACCATAAACTAATGCCACCTTTTCCTCCACTTGAACTTAAATAAAATATTTTTTAGTTATTTCCATGAAATATTAAATGCACTCAATATATGTTAATTTTAATACACGTGTAGTATATATGAACATATATAATTAAAGTACTCGTACATATAAGCACTTTCATGAAAATTTCATTAAAAGAAGCACCCGTGCGAAGCCAAGGCCGGCTAATAGTTTCTTAGAACTGACATTTGTATGAATTCGCAATCTTATATTGTCCTAACAAACATAAATCTCATTTTAAAATGAACTCCAAATATTTTTAAGTCAAGCAACAATTCGGTCAACATTGACCAGTCCAGTTACTCACATCTAAATTTGATGGAGTGAGATACGGTGCATACATCAGAACAATCTTTGTGCTCTTTGCCCGTATCTTTATTACAAATCGATTTATCGGTAGCCGTGGGCACTCGATTCGTTCACGTTCGTTTAATCGATATAGTTATCAGAAATAACTGTGTCGTTCTCTAAATTGAAAGCTGCGTTTGCGCAGGCGAATAGATATTCTATACCTATTTTTTTTTAAATAAAGCTAATTGCAAAAGTTCTATCGAATTATGAGAACGAGAAACGTTTAAGAACTCCAATTATATTATCCATAATTAAAAGTTTTTCGAAATTGTTCTTGTGAAAGTTTGAATGGGAGGAACATTAACATTTTATCTCAAATTACAGATAACGTAAAGACAGTTTATTTTATGTGATTTAAGATAAAAGTTACTCTACAAACAGCCTCCCCTTGTTTAAGCTCCTAACGTTGAACATTGATTAATGTTTGAATAAAAAACTCTGTAGTCAGGCTTACTAAAATGGTTGTACATATAATATACTAGCATTGACCGCGGCTCCGCCCTCGTTCAGATGACCAAAAACCAAATTCTTAGATTTTACATATTAGTATACTCTTACATTGCAGTTTTTGTATGTATTTTTATGTTTTTATGTTTATGTTGACCCGGATAACCAGCTATCTTCATACCAAACTTCATAAAAATCCCTCCAGTGGTTTTTCTGTGATGCGGTAACAGATAGATAGACAGACAGAAAGACAGACAGAGACAGACAGACAAAAAATCTAAAAACTATAGATTTGGCCTCTGTATCGATAATAATGTTTATTTCAATAAGATTTTCCCAAAAAAATTTAACATACAGATTCGGCTTAGTTACAATTTTGTTATATGTATAAATTAGCTACATCTACAACATCACCTGTAGCATGTTCTGTAATTTATAATTTCTAATTAAAATTTGAAATCTCAATAAATGCAGTTAAGATATTTTACATTTCATAGTATAGAGTTATTTATACATATAATAAATGTTTAACTGATCGCTGTCTGTACATGGAAGATATTTGAGAAAAACCATAATTGAGGATCTTTATTTATGCAATAGAACCCAAAACAATGATTTTTAGAATTTATGTCTGTTTGTCGGTTGTGCGTTTGTGCGCGCTAATCTGAGAAACGTCTTAACCGATTTGGATGCGGTTTTCACTAATATATTTTGGTAAGCTTCACTTAACGTTTAGTATTTGTTTTATTTCAATCAGTTCATAAATAAAAAAGTAACGTCAATTTAAAGAATCACCTAGGGATGAACCAGAGCGGAGCGATAGTGAAATGAGGAGAGCTAGTTGGTAATAATAAAATGAGTTTATATCCTACTAATTATGGATAATAAGGATTTGTGCTCCATAAAAAGGATTATACATGAAATGCAGAATTAAAGTCATCCATTCATTCATACCTGATAATATTTTTATTTAGTATAATGTATAAATGGATATATGAAATAAATATTTTTTCAGTAATGTCCTATTGAGTGCAAGTTGTTGATACAGCGGTGGACGTAATCGCGATGCTTATTACGAGGCGATGTCACCAGAGCCCTTCCCACGGGAAAGTGGCTTGTTTGTTAAATTGTGTTCACTCTGTTGGCGATCTACTTAGACACGGTTTTTTTAAGTTTATTTAAGCTATTTCGATTTTGATGGAAACTATGTTAAAATAAAAATTAACGGTTATGGTATTTATAACCTGTTTATAGCATTTTTTTAACTACTTAATTTCATAGCAAATACGACGTGAATGTACATGTAAAAAGCTTATACAATAATATTTCTATATCTAAATGGCGAGATAGTCTCAATTACTGCACAGCCTAAGGAAATCAAAGCTCCACTCAATACATAGCTCAATTTAATTTTTATTGGTCCTACTAGATATAAGCGAGCTACGCAATCTAGTAATCGACGGTCATTAGAAGCAATTGCGTCTTCAACGATACGATACAGCTATAACCGGTGAACGAATTTGGCGAGCATCCTTGAGATATATTACCGATTCTGTACCACCGTTGTTCATTGCAATGCGCACGTGAAGATAAGTCTCGCAAATTCCGAATGCATTTTGATGCCTTGCTTGAACTGTATTATATTTTAGTTATTCGTTTTTGTTTTTAAATTTGTTATTTTAGATATCTAATATCTTTTTTACTGACAAAGCATAGATGATGTTTTAAATGTAATAAAGAAAAACTTTTTATATGAATATATATATATATATATATATATATATATATATATATATATATATATATTTATTTATTTATATGCAATTTTATTGTGGGTATAAACTGAACTTAGGTATAAAAAAAAACAAATAATAGCATAAAGAAGTTCAGATATCAAACATTTAAAGAACATGTCGTAAATTAATTATCGTTATATAAGTATTACTATTAGACTATAACTATTAGAATATAACAATTAGAGGCTTTTACAGTATGTACGGAAATCGTTAGATGAGTTTATCGCGTCCGGTATTCCGGTTGCTAGTGATGCGAAATTTTAAAGTGAACATATAATTGGGCTATTAATAACAAATATAGTTTATCTAATATTATTTCATTTTCAAGATTTTTTCGTCATATTATGATTATAATTTATAAATAAATAAATTTGTTTGAGACATTAATATACGGCACCATCTAGTTCCATGCTAAGCTACAAGGCTTGTGTTATGGATACCAGACATATATAACTTTAAATATATACATATTATAAAAATAAACACCCATGACTGGAGTACAAACATTCGTGTTCATCACACTGACCATGAATGCCCCCAGCGGGACTCGAACCCGGGATCGCTGGCACAGCAAGTAGGATCACTACAAATTGAGCCAAACGTGTCGTCATTTATAAACTTAAGTGATGTACATTGTACATATTATTTGGAGATTTGGAAAATATTTCAAAGAGTAAGTAGGTATATAACACACCAAATACTGTTCATTGTACGGACAAGAAGAGCTTACGCAGTGAAGCCAAAAGAAGGAAAAAAACGATCAAACGGTGAGGGAGTCGTAAAAGAATCTCTTTAATGGCTTCTTGATCAGCTCAGTGCCATAATATTTATTGGATGATATATTATTGTTTAATGTGTTATTTCCTGCCAAAGCTGCAGAAACGATGATAGTTAATGATAAAAGCTATAAAATATATGATTATGTAGAAACGCGAATTTATTCAGACTTGTTGTAAAATTGCGTATTTTTTTTATAATTTTTCAACTTGATAGAAATATTGTAAATTATAATTTAACTTTACAATAAAAGATAATGAAATAATATTAGTACCGCTGAGTTTCTTTCGCTAGTTCTTCTCAGGTCTGAGGCTTCTGCTTTCCGAACTGGTAGTAGACTCATGACGTTCAGTAAAAATTGTAATAATTTAATGCTGAATAAAGTATTTTGAATTTTGAATAATGTGGCACATACAAATGTAATTTAAAGGAACATCTTTTTCGATATTCCTATAAGGTATCTAAGAAATTATTTATTTCATTTAAGTGGTAACCAAGTAAAGTTTTCTCGTTATTGAAGGCGATTTCAACGTTCGCCCTAGACTTCGAATAGCAGTAATTTTCAATAATAATTATATATAACCGTGGAAGACCATCGTTTGGCCAAATGCCTATCTAATGTTTACGTGTCGTACAAACACTTGGCATTATCTACGAAGTCAATGAGTGCGCGTGCCCGATCTCGTCCTAACGTCGGATAACTGCCGCGGAGGCTGTATCGGTGTATATCTAGAGGGGAGATGAGGGATCTGAGAGGTCTGTGAGGGGGGCGCGGTGGGGCGAGGGGGAGACGCCGCGCACCGCCTTGCCACTTGCCAGTCAGTCAACTTATTCGCACCGCGAGCGTCGATCGTGACGCACGTGTACCGCTACGATCCTCCATCCTGTCTCCCGTGAGACATTGTCACGCGCATAACATCGGTGTAAAAATAAAGCCGGCGACAGACGGAGTCTCGAGTTAAATTTAAATGATACGGGTTTCGCACCCGGCCCTCGGACGCTCGCCATGAGACTAAGTATGTGGCATCTAAGTTTTAATATAATATATATTAGTTGTAATTAGCGTAAGTTGAGTTCGAAGTGATAACTTGTGCTGGATGTGCCTCCTCGGTATCGGTTCGTGATGCTCAAGTGGTCAGGTTTCAGATGTCACAATCTGAGTTTTGGTATTTATGTGCGAGTTGTAAGTAGCGTTTCTCAAGAAGGTCCACGCTCGTGATAGGATTGCATAATTTATGTTAAATGAGGTATACACCATTATCTCATTCAGTGATTAATTGTAACTCTTGAACGTGTCGAGTAGCTATCTTTTCCGATACCTTTCATTCGCCTTGGCATTGTGTTTGTTGTTTTCCATGTTTTAAAACTCCCTCATAAATGTTTGAGTCCTGCGGTTTCGAAATTACATACGCGAGTTTATCGAACTCGCCCGCGTGATTTACTATATGTATGTACATGAGATATAACTTTAACGCTTACAGCGATTCCAATGTAACATTCAATTAATATGTATAACATTTCATACGTCGATTTGAGATCATTTTATCTATAAACATAATGTATGTAAGAGATGTAAAAAGGTTAATCGACGATATATAATTAAACAAAAACAATTACGATAATTTACCGCGTAACGACTATTGTGTTGAAAACATCGTAAAAGTACAGTGTATAAAGTTATGTAATATATTCTAACTTATTCTGCTGGGAGCGCATCTCTACCTGCCACCCTTTTGTTGTATTTAGGGCCCTTTGTATATCTGAAGCTAGCCTTATATGGGTCGAAGGGCTGACGGGTACCTGTGGACCGTACGCGCTAAAAAACTTGGATTCTATTGATATATTCTGAACTGATGCCTTGACGACTGATTTGAAAAAAAAAATAATTAAAGAATCAGCATAGTTATATGTAAATTGCTATAATTTGTTACCATATCACATGTCATTTATATAATTTTTATATTTTTATATAAAACTAGCGACTCACTACGTGTTAACGTATAGCATAGATTTCTCAGAGATGAGATATTTTCCCGCAGTAAAAAGTATCCTATATGTTGACCCGGACAACCAGCTGGCCAGTAGTTTTCCCGTGATGCGGTCACAGACACACATACAAAAATTCTAAAAACTATAGATTCGGCCTCTGTATCTATTATAATGGCTATATCAATAAGATTTTTCAAAAAATATTTAATGTACAGATTCTGTTTAGTTACAATTTTATTATATATGTATAGATAGATATTGTGTTCAGATGCGTCTGAAACTTTAGATTTGCATTGTTATCTTTAAACTAAAGTACGCCACAAATTGTTGTGTTGTGTTTATTAAGCGTTTGATTTCCTTTTAAATTATCACGATGCAGGAAATTGCTTTGGCTTCGGTATTATTGATAACATGTATAGAGGTTATGGGCATGTGCGGCAAGAGCTGTCCATCTGTAAACAGGCGAAGCGTATTCGCTCGATCTGCGCTCGACGCAGGATGTCCGACATCCTACATCCTATCTTTGAAGATTTATAAGCATGATATACGCACTGACAGGTTTACATTTCCAAATATAGCTAGCACGGAATTCAGTTTGAATTTCAAAGACATATATTTTGTTTATCAATCGTGATCGCCTTGATGTAATATCAATATATTGCTTTTGATCTACCTATTAGATACATAATCTAAACAATTACCCGTCTTTCTAATGTGCAAAGAGATGGAAATGTTCTTCTAGAATTTCAAATTTTCGTTATTTTAAGATGTAAATATTGCTATTTATGATAGTTTTTCTATACTAATCTTTATATATATAATTCTTCTGTTAAAGAGGAAAGTTTTTTGTTTGTTTGTTCGGTATTAATAAGCTCCGAAACTACTGAACCGATTTAGATGAAATTTGGTAAGAAGATAGTTTGAGACCCTGGGGTGGGTATAGAATAGTTTTCATCCCGGAACTCATCCCTGAAAGGGGGTGAAAATGGGGATAAAAATTTGTATGGGCAATCAACCTATGAACGAACTAGAGGGAAACGAGGGTGAGTCGCTATTCGCTAGTGTAATATAAATCATTATTTGGCAAAATATTCAGGAGTAAAATACCTTTTATATACCTTTTACCCATGATTATTATCTTTCTTGCATTAAATGCGTGTTAATTTAGAAGTGGAGTGTTTTACTCCCAACATAAAAATTTCATGTTCAGTTCTAACAGAACTCGATTGTAGATAGATACAAAAATTTCGTCATTTTACTAAAATGGTTAAACATGCCTAGAAAAGATTTAATTATTTAACTTTTTTATCTAGTTTAAACTTTTTGCGGTTACCACAAATGGTTAATAAGGTTTTTAAATGTGAGCTAGCTTAGCTAACTTGCCAATCAACTTTATGAACATATTATGTTTAAACCGAATGCAGTGGTACGAGTTTAAATTACTTACATATAAATTAATATGTTCAACTAAAAGAAACTGAAAATAAAGACCAATTAAATATCTATAAGTCTCTCCCGTGACCATCATTGTTGTAAAGAATTCGAACCGTCAGGAACCAAAAATCAAAATGAATCCGCGAAAAAATCCGAAAATATAGTTTTATTAAAAACTAGCATTGCTCGCAGCTCTGCCCGCTTTCAGGTGACCAAAAGCTAAATTCTTAGGTTTTACATATTAGTATACTCTTACATTGCAGTTTTTGTATTTTTACTCAGAAATTAGACATTTTCCCGCGATAAAAAGTATCCTATATGTTGACCCGAATAACCAGCCACCACCATACCAAATTTCATCAAAATCCCTCCAGTGGTTTTTCTGTGATGCGTTAACAAACAGACAGGCAGACAAACTGACAAAAATTCTAAAAACTATAGATTCAGCCTCTGTATCGATAATAATGTCTATTTAAATAAGATTTTCTAAAAAATATCTAATGTACAGATTCGGCTCAGTTACAATTTTATTAAAAATATTTTATTTTATTAAATTATTTATGTGTAGATATCAAATATTCGCGTCAATCTAAGAAAGTATTATTCAATTAAATATTATTAATGTTTTTAAATATGTTTTGCAAATACTAAGTATAACAAATACATAGTCTACCCCAGAGTGACGAATCACAATGGAGATAGCTATAATATTTTAGTGATGTCTATACAGTCTTCCGTACTTACTAAACAAGGACAGATCGATAAAAGATCTAACGATGATCATCACGTACCGTAAAAACATTAAAAGTAAATTATTTATATAACCATTGAGAATAATCGCTAGGTTGTCTTTGAAGCGATGTCTCGCTATTAACTATTGTAGTTTGTCTGGTCCTGGAAGTTAACTCTTGCGATAATCGATATCGCTTATAGAAACCTTAAAAATATAATATGAAAGTGACAGTTTTTCACCATAATATGTTTTTGATATGTGAATTCCAATCCCATCCAGAACGCATCTTGTCTTGTGGTCCGTGGTTCGATTTCTACAACGTTTTGATCTTACGCACGTTTTTAACACTTGTTAGTTGTTACTTATAATTCGCACATTTATAACACCACCTTTACCAATTACAATATGTTAATAGGATACCAATAGGAAAATTTTCACTTAATAAAACTTAATATTTAACAGCAATAGTTACTATTTAACTAAATATGTACAGCGACATAAAAATGTCATTCTTAGTGGGGAAATTTTTGAAATTTACATGGAAAATCATTTAAGGTATTCTAATCTATTTACAATTAGTGAAGATATTGTGTAACAAACACAAACAAACACACGAATTGATTACCTCCTTCTGTTTGAAGTCGGTTAAAACTGTAAAAAATACCCTCAATGTTTCTTCCATTAGCTGCGATGAACCTGTAAATAATAAAGGCAGGTCTTAACATTGCGTCGAAGAAATTACTTAAGTAATGTAGACTGATCTATTACGCTGCACCTTCGTCAATTGTTTTAATGCGATTGCATTGTATTTATACAGGTGTTGAGACGACGCCATTTTAGAATCAACTTATTTGTTTGTTAGTTTGTCCTTCTTTAACGCAATAACAGTGCAACGAAGTGAGTTGATTTTTTTCTTAGATATACATATGTAAGTTATTATGGGTTATTATGGAAATCAATAGAGATCTCTCACTAGTCGGACTATAATTATACACGCGAAAGTTTCTAATTCCGTGTGTATGTTTGTTTCTCCTTTACGCTAAAGGCTGGACGGATTTGGATGAAATTTCGTAATCAGATAGATAGTGGCTCCGGGTGCCTAATCAGTGCATCTAGACTTCTGAGCTCGGTTAGGCATCTCGACCTCTGAGTAAGTTGCTACTATTTCATATGTTCAAAACTGACACTTTAGAATGTAAATGAAAATACGGCTTATTTATACGTTTAATTTACATGTTGATGTAAACTGTATGTATATTTACTTTCAAGACAAATCGAAGGTCGGATAATGAATTAATAATGCACATACATATTCTTTCTTATCGAACGGCAAGTTGGTACGTATTTCTTGATTGTGGATGTTTATAATGTGAATTTCTTTTGGGTATGTATTGGACTGGTATTGTAATTAGTAGTACATATTAGTCTATACAATAAATATATGAATACTATTATTCAGCCCTTTTTAAAGTGCCACTGCTGGGCACGAGTCCTCTATAATGCGATCAGGTCATAGTCCACTACGATGGCCAGTGCGGGTTGGTGGACTTCACATGTCTTTGGAAAACTTGCTAGGTTCTCTCAGACATGCAGGTTTCCCCGCGATGTTTTCGTTCACCGTATTGTTATTGAAGTTACCCAAACCAATCAGATTTGAGTGGTTTTTTTCTCTTATTCACCGGTTATTCTATATAAGATGTCTTTTCCTTTCGAGCAACTGACGCTCCTCTTAGTCACTTATTCCTATAGGAGTAAAATTTTTCTTATATATGGATACTAATATTATGTGAAAGTGTGTTTGTTTGTTCTTCTTTTACGTCGAAACAGAGTGACGATTGGCGTGATTTTTTGTGTGAAGATAGTTGGAGGGCTGGAGTGTGACATAGGTTACTTCTTATCGCGGAAGATTATCTCATTCCCACGGGAAAACACACAATACAACCCACAACAACTCATCATACATAAATATATATACACATATATTCCATATTAACCGTTAAAACGTACCTAGGAACGAACCAGAGCGAAGCGAGGGTGAGCCGCTAGTTTTTTTTTAATGTAAAGTTCGTGGCTATAAATCAACTCTTTGAAAGTTTATAACTACGAGTAAAATATAATAATGCATACATCATTTTGTCATGCCAATGTACAATGTAGTAATAAGTATGTATTAAACAAGTTACCAATGTGTGACACTGATATTAAATGTGTCATCGCGCAGGTGATTCCGCATATTAGCAATAATTACTTATATTATTCATATTGTCCTCATACATACGCTTTTTCATACTAATAGTTTTACCGACCGCGTGACTCGTACTTGAGCTATCGTAATTAACGATATTATCCTTCTTAGAACCAACACTGATACAATTGTTTCAAAGAACACCCAAAATAGACACGCTACAGGCTATTTTTAAATTATTATGTCCAGTGACAACTTGATAATCGTATGTTATCAACGTTTATATCGTGTCCCCTAATTAATTGATAATTTATTTTTATTTGAAGAAATTCCTCGTATGTTTAAAATTTAAATTACCTACTTATTTATAACACAAATGGTTTTTGTTAATATATATGATTATTATTGGTCATTGATGATGATTGCTGAATTGTTTTCGCTAGTTCTTCTTAGGGTGAGGAATTGTTTTTTAATCTATACTAATACTAATAATTATAATCTATACTAATATCATAAAGAGACAGAGTTTGTTTGTTTGTTTGTTTGTTTGAACGCGCTAATCTTAGGAACTACTAATCCGATTTGAAAATTATTTTTGCTTTAGATAGCCCGTTTATTGAGGAAGGCTATAATCTTTATATCATCATGCTACAACCTAAGGGAGAGGAGTAGTAATCATAAATGTTAACAAATCGGCAGACTTCCATACATTATTGTAAAATTATATATATATATATATATATATATATATATATAATTTTATATATATATATATATATATATATATATATACATAGGGAGTCGAACTCGAGTTCGACTTCCTATGTATATATATAACTCGCTTCGCTCGAGCGAAGCGAGGGTGTCTCTAGTATTTATTATAAAGTGACACAAAATTGTATTTTTGTTTGTAAACTAAAAATTTTATCTCTGAATCAGGTGATTACTGGGAGATCTTGAGGGGCTGACTATTATTGCTCAGATTATAAATTTTCTTTTACAAATAGGTAAACACTGTGTTCAAGTGACATAAACAATTTGAAATCGACGCGAGCGGATCCGCGGACTAAAACGAAGTTTTATTAAAATCATTCATGAATTCGACGCTACCTTATACGAGTATAGATATTATATGACGAATGAAACAATAATTTTTGTTCATTCCGGATACTTTGCACCGTTAAATGAAACGTTCGCGTTATTCAATACATTGCATATTCTCTCGCTCGAATAACGTAAAACTGTTTCTACGTAAGTTTATATTTTACAAGTGAGTCTTAATGAATCAGTGTACATCTGTGCATTTCCGCATCCGTGGCATCTGTCCAACTTTGCCTAGGTCAAGTTAGCGTACATTGTCATGCTTTAGCGCTATTCGCTCCTCCCATGGTCTCTACATTTGTCGACTCTATACTCGTACTATGTTGCTTGGCGTAGGTCTATAATTTTGGTTTGAAATTTAAGTATTTTTTTAAGAGATATTCGTTGTTGGCTTGTTATAATAAAGTTATTTAAATTTGTTTTGTAATTTAGGGTAAAGAGGTTTTATTTAATGTAAAGAGTATTTTTTTTAATGTATACATTTTGGTTTGAGATTAAAGGCCACTTGTACCAAATTTTTGATTGGATTTAAATGTCTTAACTATGTTTAGCAAACGATAAACAGTACTTACAATTATAAGAGGTTTAACAAACTCATTTAAATCAAATTAAGAATTTGGTACAAGTGGCTCTTACTGCGTATCGTTAATTGTTAAACCTATCTTCAATAAATCTATGCAATATTTGAAATTTTACAACACATAATACTTAGATTTAGGCGGATATTTGTAATTCTTCGTCGTGGTCTCCTTCCGTAACAATTTTGCTGTTAATACATTCAAAATCTAACGTCGGGGACCAAAAACCAAAATAATTGACGAAAATATAAAAAATGGAGATTTTTTACGATAAGTAACTAAAGATTTTATTATATTTATTCCAGGCCGGGGCATATTGTGCGAGTGCGCGGGCGCTAGCGCGTGTCCCGACGGCGCGGCCAACGGCACCTGCACCACCCAGCCCGGCGGCTACTGCTTCGTGGCTGTGGAGAAAGTTCTAGATGAGAATGAGCTGGTGGTCCTCGAGAGGACTGCTGGCTGTCTGCCGCCTGATGAAACAGGGTTCATGCAGGTGTGTATAATTCATGTATTGAGTTTGTAAGTGTATATGTATGTATGTACGTCACAGTTTAGTTGATATAATCTTACGATAGTTTGATATGAGGAGTTTTCTGGGTTTCTTTGGCCAGTTCTTCTCCGGTCTGAGGTTTTTCTTTCCGAATTAGTAATAGACTCATGCCGTTCAGTAAAACAATAATAATAATTTAATGCTGAGTAAAATATATATTTTTTCAATTTTGGAATAGTGATGTCGGTAGGTAATAACTGATAAGATTATTTTTTAATAGAAATAAATGAGTATTCGACTCTTTTTCTTTTTTATTCTTTTCTTTCTTTAATAGAAATAAATAATTATACGGTAATAACCGAACAATGATAGCGTTATATGCACACAAACAGACATACACACACGAATTAGGTAACAGGAGATTACTCGTAAATGTAGCGTACGATTTAACTTAAACTATTTATATACGTGTTGTGGCTAAGAGTTATTATAGGCTATAGCTCAAGATTCAAACTAATGTAGAATTTGTATTATAACTTACTCGTAGTAGTTTTTGTTTATGTTCCGATTGTATAATAAACGCAGCCTCGCTTCAAATAGTTAGGTTTATAAATACTTCGAATTCAGAATAAAAATAATACCTTATACTTTTTTAGATTGATGCCAATATTACTTATTAATTTAAACAAATATAAATGATGATCTTCATCTCTATGTTAGAGAATTACTTTATTATCACCTCTCTAAAAATAATAATGTAATTAATACTACAAAAACTGTCTGTTTGAATACTAATTACGCTATAGTATAGGCACTTGTTCAGTACACAGTGTGCCGGTGATAGTGCCACCTGATGTTAGGGATTTGTGCAACCAAATGTATGTACTATGTAGTTCAAATTGATATGACGTCAAATATGTTAACATTGCGATAAGCGTGTTTGGACAAACAAATTCATCTAAATATAACACTAGAAACTAACCTGATTTACTATCATTGGCATTGTTTATATACTTAGTCTAAGTGCCTTTTAGATAATATATATACATAACTAACAGTACGTTTAAATATGAAAAAAACATTATAATTTACAAATGTTCTTCTTTTTCCAGTGTAAAAGCTCACAAGTACCCCACCAGCACCCGAAAGTTATAGAATGCTGTGAAAAAGACCTTTGCAATCGGCGGCTACATCCACAGCTGCCAGAGCCCCCGCCCGATGTGACCGAAGCGCCAGGCCTGCGCCCCACCGCGCCCGCCAGCCAGACCATACTTATGGCGGCCGCGCTGTGTGTCGCCGTGGTTGCTTTCGCAGCTTTGTGGCTCCTATTCAGAAAACGACGAAGGGGTTGCAAGAGACCGCCCTCCCCGCCTGCTCCCTCACATCACACAGAAATATCGTCCGGTTCTGGCTCAGGATTGCCCCTACTCGTACAAAGAACAGTCGCGAAACAAATACAAATGGTCGAATCTATCGGTAAAGGTCGTTACGGAGAAGTCTGGCTCGCGAGGTGGCGAGGTGAAAAAGTAGCAGTTAAAGTGTTCTTCACTACCGAGGAAGCTTCCTGGTTCCGCGAAACTGAGATATATCAGACAGTGCTGATGCGTCACGAAAACATCCTCGGCTTTATTGCCGCTGATATAAAAGGCACCGGATCCTGGACTCAGATGCTCTTAATCACGGACTATCATGAGAACGGCTCCTTGCACGATTACCTGCAAACGGTCGTCTTGGACACACACTCGCTAATGACGATGGCATACTCGATAGTTAGCGGACTGGCGCATTTACATATGGACATCTTTGGAACTAAAGGGAAACCGGCGATCGCCCATCGGGATATAAAGAGCAAAAATATCCTCGTGAAAAGAAACGGACAGTGTGCGATCGCAGACTTCGGGCTAGCGGTGAGATACGTGGCGGAACGCAATGAAGTCGACATCGCGCCCAACACGCGTGTGGGAACTCGCAGATATATGGCGCCCGAAGTGCTGGACGAGAAACTGGACGTCACAAACTTTGAAGCGTTCAAAATGGCGGATATGTACTCTTTAGGATTGGTTTTGTGGGAGATGTGTAGGAGATGTGCGACCGGGGATAAGGCGCAGTACGTCGAGGCGTATGCATTGCCCTACCATGAATATGTTCCCTCTGATCCTTCCTTCGAGGACATGCACGCGGTGGTCGTCGCCAAGAAGATCAGGCCGCCGCAACCTGCTCGGTGGAAGGGTTGCTCCACACTGACGACGGTATCCGCGCTGCTGGCCGAGTGCTGGCACCACAACCCTCCCGTGCGGCTCACCGCTTTACGGGTCAAGAAGACCCTCGCGAAATGCCGCTCGGAAAGTGCCGTCAAACTTGTGTGAAAAGACTTAATACTTATAATTGACGTTATCCTCGAGTGTCAAAGTGAGACGTGTGACTCTCGGTCGGTACGTTCCTGTGTACAGTGAGGCAGACTAGTTCCTCGTATTTATTGCCGATAGGCGGAGTTTTCCCAACAGCCCCCATCGATTTCAAATTCCACCGCCATTAAATCTCAGTATTGTTAAGTTTATTTTTCCTACCAGTGACTCGCTCTAAATGTCCGGAATCTCCGTTTTTTTGGTTAGAATTATATTTTAAATTTTCTGTTTTTTTTTGTCTAATGTTTTAAAGTATGTATTATTTAGGATAAGAATGGGTTTGTAATAATGAAAATTGTCTTCCGTTTAATAAGATTCGCTCGATGGCAGCTCCGGGGAGGTTACAAATACTCAGATTGTATAATCTGTTTCTTAAATACGCGTAATTGACAATTGTGATATATCGACAATAAGAGAAATTATTTTTTTTATTGTAAAACAAGCCAATTTCAACTCTATACCGCGTATCTGTTCGATTGTACTTAAATATTGAAAAGACTAAATTGTGTAAAGTATTAGAGATACGTCTGCGCAGTGTCTTATGAGATGCCTTCGATTAGTATTACCGTGTTTTGTATTGCGGCGCTCTTCCTCAGACTTGGACTTTGGGAAACAATCCAAATAGTTAAACTAACTTAGTGATATGATCACAAAATTGTATGGTCCTTCGTGCCGGATACGTTGATAATTGAGTAAATTTTCATTAAAACGTGATTTATTAAGAAAATATATAGATATATATACAGGTTCAAGTTTGACGGGCAGCGTTCGTTAGCATTTAGTGCGCGTCTGCGCCTTGTACAGTGTTGTGTATATATAGCGTTAGAGTAGTACCTAATACATGTTGCTAATTAAGTTACAAATAAAATATTAATGGACAAACAATCTGTTTTTTATTATAATACCTCTAAACTCTTGTGTATGCTCTTAGATTCATTATATTAAACTTACAATAAATAAACTGCATTCTATATTAAGAAGACGAATGTCTTTTTTCCTACATTTGTTAGTTTTATGCAATTTACAAATTAAATATAATGTTGTTAAAGAATTCTTGAATAGAAAATGAATATAAAATTACTATTGATATAAAAAAAGTATTTAATTTAACAGCTGTGTTATATTTACTTTTGAAATATAAATCTTTTAAATAAGAGAAGCAAAGAGAATAAGGTAGATAAGGGATAGATTTTTTTTATAATTTCTATGGACCATTGCTCTGTAAGTATAACTAATTAATAAAAAAATATCATTAAAATGAGGTCGCAATTGGTGAAGATATCACGTGACACAAAAATCATGCAGTCAAATGCATGCTTGTTACCTTGAAACCTTATCCTTTTTTGAGAGATATTAAGTGTTCTTCTAAGAGTTATTAAGTGATAAGTCTACGAGACATCCATGGAAGATATACTTAATTTAAGTACATTTACACATAACATTTATATATATATATAAAATTCATTGATAGTACAAATGCGACAAAATCAAAGTTATTGTTAAATGAATAAAATAGCATTTTTTTTGTATATTATTTTTATTTGATGAACTAGCGATTCACGTCTCTGTTTTCACGATTAGTTTGGATTTCTGAGAGATGAGATATTTTCTTGCATTAAAAAGTATCCTAAATGTTAATCTGAACCACCAACTGTCACCATACCAAATTTCATCAATATTCGTCCTGTGGTTTTCTGGTGATGCGTCCCCAGAGAGACAAAAATACTAAAAACTATAGACTCGGCCTCTGTATCGATAATAATGACTATTTCAATAAGATTTTCCAAAAAATATTTAATGTACAGATTCGACTCAGAATTTTATTATATGTATAAATAATATTAATTTAAAGATTGAGATATCATTACCGAAGGTACATTTATGTACCTATCATACTTTAAAATGAAATATACGTGTAAGATTTTTGACTGATTGTATAATGACTTATTTGAAAAGCATCGACCTAAAGTATAATGTGTGAAACCTTAATAACCATTCAAATTAAGCTAATTGCTACATAATGTGTACTCGTAAAGTGATTACATTGAGTTTTCAGCTCAGTTCGTACAGCTCACAGATTACGCCCTTTCTGGGATCCATTTTCTTATCTTTAGTTATTTTTACACAAACTTTAATAACGAATCAATTCATATAATCGATTGATATTTATTTCATATTTTCGTTATCCATGACCTGTTTTTACACTACATACAAAGAAAAAGGCCAGTGTTAATTTGGCCATTTTTGTTATTTAACCTAGACGATTAAGCATTAACGAAAACTATGGAATTATTTATAACATGTATCTATAAAAATATATTAAATATTAGAAAATGGATTATAGTGATTTTTACCATTTTTAATTATGTTAACAATTCATAAAAAGTAAACAGCGCCATCTATTATCACGCAGCATAACTTCGTTTTCTTTTACGTGGAATGTTTAAAACCATAACTTAATATGGTAGTGTGTGACCATAATATACTTTTTTGAGAAATATTTTTTATCTTTTGTTAATATTGCACAAGCAGCAATAACTTATCAACACATATAATGCTGCCATCTACTAACATTAATTTGAACTAAATTTCTTTTGCTCCTGGATAAGACCCCATGTTGATACAATAATTATTAAAGAATATGTTAGGAAAACTCAAATATTTTACGTAAAGTAGACATTGTCATGCATAAAGAACTAATTATCCGCGTTCACTTCACTCGGCCATCCCGCTGCTTTATCCAGTTCGCAGCTTCCGAGTTAGTAGTAGCTTTCTCACAGATATGTTTAGGATATTAATAACGATTTAAACGTGCATTTAAAAATGTGTATTAAATAAATTATGTTTCTCGTTTGAAGATTGCAACTTAACACAGAAGAATAACGTGTAATAGCCAATAAAAAGCACAAACTTTTTAAGACAATTATTTATACAGTATATATAAGGCACAAAACTTTTGATATAAATTAAATTATATTCAGGAAAATCATTCTACTATTATAAGCGATATAACGCGAAATTTTGTATATTTGTTTCTCCTTCAGACTGAATTGCTGGCCGGATTTTGATGAAGTTTACACAGATAAATAATAAGCTGGAATAATAAGGTTACTGATGGCACCCAAGCAAGCACTCGAGCGAAGTGGGAACAAGTCGCTAATTTGGTTAAACATTAACTCACAATTAGTACGTAGCAAACGATATGTGACGTCAATTACAAATAAATATTTACATTATTAATCTATCAATTTTCACATTTCTAAATCACCAAAAAAATGCGTTTTGATGATTAATGAATTAGTATAAAAACTAATAAAATTTAATGTAAGACCTATAGTACAAGTCCAGTGACTATCATAGAACCGTAATTTCTACCTTAAATTCACCCATATTTTTTTATGACGGCGAATATAATGTATGGATTGTAATGTTTACAACTTAACAAATTACAGATTCGATTCTTAGGTATGATTGTTTATCCCGGATGTGTTCACGATGTTGTGGTGGGAGAAGGCATTAGAGTCCGGCAATTCAGCCAGCCGCCAAGTAAAGAGACACACTGGGATGCGTGAGGTGTACCATGCGGGTTAGGATGATAACAGAGAGGACAATGGGGGCAACCTTAGTTGTGGTCTGCTTCAACTGACCTGCCGTCGGGGCGTCGTGGTTGAGCGCGTAAATTAAACTCGGACATCCCATTAAGACATGGGAGGTTGTTGTTTTATTATCAAAATATTTTTTTAAATCAAAGCTGCAGCTATATGGCCGACAATCAATAATAAGCTATAAATATTAGTTTTACGTTAATAGTAGATGTTCAGAATGTTTGTTCATAACGATAATATCAATATTATTAGATATTAATAATATTATTAGGTTTACGCTTCCACTCGATAGATGGCGTTGAGCTTTTCATTATACGAAAGAGTACCTATATTAGGTTGCTTTTTTATTGAGTAAATTTGTCTCGCTCTGAAGTACTGTAGTTTTATTTAAGAATGGTACAGATTGTTGCATTATATTACATACTAGCGACACCCTCGCTTTGCTCGGGTTCGTCCCTAGTTTGCTTCCCAATACAAACTTTTATCTCCATTCTCATGATTCCTGGATAAAAAGTATCCTATGTCCTTCTCAGGGTCTCAAACTATGTTTTTACGAAATTTCATCTAAATCGGTTCAGTAGATCTAGAGATTACCCCCTACAACGTCACAAAACTTTGCCTCTTTATAATATTAGTAGATCACTGGGCTGTTTAGCACATAGAACTATGTACAGAAGGTAGTGTTTAAAATCTAAATAACCTTTATATTGGTAATTACAAATGCTATTTTCATGTCCCCAAAGGAATATACAATAAAACGACATAATACTTAAAATGATATTTATTATAACCTATATACACTCCATTGCATTCATGTTCAGACAGACAGACATACAAAACACTATCTATATTTGCAAATCAGTCCCAGTCACAATAATATTGTCCACAATGAATCTAATGATTATTTGGACTGTCAAAGTAATATACATCACACAATGTGAAACTGTGCTCCTTCACTTAATAAGGCGCATATCTTCTGGAGGGCGACGGGCCGCGCATGCCGGGCCTGGAATACACAAAAGATATTATAATTTTTATTTAAATACTAGCGACTCACCCTCACTCTGCTCGGGTTCATCCCAGTATGTTTCAACATTTAGTTTAGACTTCGCAGAGATATTTTCCTACAATAAAAAGTATCCTTTATGTTCACCCGGATGACTATCTTTATTAAACCAAATTTCATCTAAATCTGCCGTGGTTTTCTAATGATGCATTCCCTGACAGACAGACAAAAAATCTAAAAACTATAGATTCGGCCTCTGTATTCATAATAATGACTATTTCAATAAAAATTGCCAAAAAAAAAGTTTTATGTACAAATTAGACTCAGAATTTTACAATTATATCTTAAATGTATATATAAATAAATGGTTAATTAATTTTCTTATGTATTGCAGTTTGTAACAAATAAAAATTAAAATAATGTACAATAACATATCTCTTGTTATTCAAATATTATGTACAAGGTTATTTAATAAGTTAAACTAAGAAGTAAGAAATTAAACTATTACTTAGAGAAAAATGTCTTGTAAAACATGAAAAATTGTATCTTACATGTATAATTTGATAGGATTTTCCTGATAATATGATACGAGTTGGATAGTTGGATAGAATAGATACTAAAGTCATTGACACACTTAGTTACTTTCATCAAATAAATTTATCAATATGTAATCAATTAAACAAGGTACAACTAGTTGGTTTTAGATAAATCCCACATTAGAAACATAATACATACCGTCTGTCATCAAATGTGTCTCTGCTGAAGTCTTCATACATCCTGAAATGTTAAAAAATAATTATTATCTATCAAATATAATAGTTTGTATTTAGTACAAGTTAATATGATTATTTATCTATAGTAATATTATAAAGAGGTAAAGTTTGTGACGTTGTAGGCGGTTATCTCTGGATTTACTGAACCGATATACATGAAATTTGGTAACTAGATAGTTTGAGACCCTGGGGAAGGACATAGGTTACTTTAATATCCCAGAAATCATCCCTTAAGGTAATGAAAATAGGATGAAAGTTTGTAAGCGAGGGTGAGTCTCTAGTATGTAATATAATACAAAAATCTGTAATATATTTAAAATATTGACTCGGAAAGTACATTAAGCTTACCCTCTAGACATCTGTGGTCCCCGAGGTGGGCTCCTTCTGCTGTACATGGCATCATAGGACGATCTCATGGAACCCATGCTGCTCCTCATTGGTGGCAAGTTTGGCATGGGAGGCATAGGCTCTCTGCGTAGTGGTGGGGATACAAAGTCTCCTCGAGCTCTAGACGCTCCCATATCTAATCCCCGGGAAGCCCCAACTGGATAACGACGTTCAAACAAGTCCCGTGGTGAATCGAAACGAGCTCTGTCATAGTAGCCATCATAAGGATCCTGTTATTAAATGAAAAAAACATTAGTCTTAGGAAGTAAGCATATATATGTATATGTAATAATTTTGAATTAGATGGCCTAAATAAATCGTTTAAGATATCAAAATATGTAGCATCATCGAGCCCGCGATATCGAGGGGATAACCGCGTGAGAATCGGCCTACTGATGCGGCGTACGGACGTGACGATAAGTAAAAGAGCGCGTTACCCCAAATCCTCCCATCATGCGATCGCGAAGGAACGGCGGCGGCGGCGGCGGGGGGTAGGGGTCGCGGCCGAACGCCCGATCGCGGAAACCGTTGCGGTCAGGGCCCAGCGCCTTGGGGCACTCCTTGGACCAGTGGCCGCCGCGCCCGCAGCGGTAGCACTGCTCCGGGTCGCCCATGCCCGGCCGCTGGCGGACGCGGCTTGTGGACAGCTGCACCTTCATCGGCTGCCCGTCCACCATCATACCGTTCAACTCTTTGATCGCTTCGTTCACGTCGCCCGACGCGTCCAAGTGCACGAAGCCATAGTTACGAACGATATCGCACTCGACGACCGTGCCGAACTTCTGAAACAGCTCGCGGACCTCCGGCGCGCGCGTCTTGTCCGTTAGGTTACCGACGAATATTTTAGTGGTCGGCGTCGACGGCGCCTTTCGGCTCTTAGCCGCTTCTATTTTGATCGCCTGTCCATGAACTATCTCGCCGTTCAGGCTCTGAATGGCTTCGCGGCCGACTTGTTCGTTTTCCATGTGTACGAAACCGTAATTTCTGACGATATCGCATTCTACGACCGTACCGAACTTTTCGAACAGCGGCCTGAGATCGGCGTCCGTTGTTTTATCGGAAAGATTCCCGACGAAGATTTTGAAAGTACCGGCGCCCGGCATTTTAGTTTCTGAAACGCATACACAATTTCACGAAATGAGTCAGCAGCGGTCTTTGTAGTTTTTAGAACCGACGAACTTTTTTCGAATTTTTAATATATATTTATACTTACCTATTTTGTACTTTAAAAAATCACTTTAATAAACACTGAGTATGCTATAATTACACGCTATTATCACAGAAAACCTTCTGCGCACAATGCCCTTACAATCGAATTACAAAATGGCGATTGGCGTTCCACATTCTAATTTCTACAAAATACCACGGGCCACGGCACCAAGCGGAAAGAGCCTAGAGCAGAAGACCGGAACCGGTTACGGACGCTTGAACGAATGATTGAGTACTTATAAACAGATAATAAATGTCCATCAAAATTCATAGACAAGTTATTTTTGATACATTTATTAACCGAAACATAAAATATATAAAAATAAAATACACTGAATTTCAACTAAAAAATAATATGGTCAAAATAATATGTTAACAAAATTCAATATTTAATTAGTAAGAAATGTTTATTTATATTATGTAGCTTAGACATTTTAACATATATAGTTCATTAGTATTAAAATGTTTTACATTAATTTTTCACCAGAAATAAAAGAAATTGTTATAATACAATTAGTAAACATCAATTTCTTTTAATGAATTTTGTATTTAGATATTATTTTTGGCTCAAATATGTAGACTTTTTATTAATTGTAACCCATTATCTTAGTGTCAAAGACCGACAATCGACATATTTTGTCGACACAAAAAATATTAGACTATTTCTAAATAAAATTAATTAATTGTATAATGTGATCTTGTGATACTACTTCTAATCAATGCTTGTTTCCTGAAAGGCAGACTCGATTTTAATCAGTAAGTATTACATATTATTTTTGGTTATATTTATGTTAAAATGCCGAAATGTATCAAATTTCTTAATTTCTTGCATATTTATCTTGCGACGAAAGTATACCACGTATGAATTAGCGACTCATATTTTCTATCAATTACTTCTTAAGAAAATACAAAATATAGAAGTAAAATTCTTATTAGGAATACTGTATTCTAACATAATCGTATAATTAATCAATAATCCAATTTAGATGTCTTATTTCAATTAAAAATGATATCACACCGTAAAAATTAATAATGTTTCTATTTTAACATGATCTCGTTTCTTTATTTACTATCTTGAGATATTTAATGGCATACAGATGAAGGTGACATATTTCATGCTTTGATAATTTCACTTTTGTTTTTATCAATTGGCATTTCCGGTTGGTCTACTTCTTATAGTTAAAACACCTAAATTTCGAAATAATATTAAGTGTTTTGTATCTTGACTTGTAATTAGCCTTCACCAATTGAAATACTGATATGTCATATTTTATGAGCTTTGATTTTCAAAAACACCAATTATTACATTTTCTTATACATTAAAATATATTTTAAATATATATGTATGAAAAGTTATAAATACTAAACTAAAGTATACAATTTAAGTGAAAATAGAGTGAAATATATTAGATTAGGTTAATAATGTTTATTAATGAATAAATAAGTTTTATTATTAACTTTTAATTCAATTAATTACCACCAGCTTCTTTACTATCATTATCATAAGAATATAAAGTAAAAAACTTTAAACAAAAATATTGCAATATGTTTATGGTAATAAAAATCACTTTAGAAGGAAGTATCAATTTTGCTTGCTACAAAAATGTTTAAAAAAATGAATTAATATTTACTCATTTATATACTTCATTGGGTCAGATCTAATGGAGGTAAATTCCTCACAGACTGAGTACGCTGACATTTAATTTAAATTTAAAATGTATAATTGATGATTTAAAAGTGCTTGTTAAACTCTATGTAAATAAAGTATATTTTGATTTTGATATTTATGCATTGGTATGTAGATTGTAGAGTATGTATGTAAGAAATTAAATTTTTCTTCTTGCAGACATATAGATACAGAAGGAATTTTAAAAATTATCCAATTTTTCCCTTTCTAGGCATAGAATCTTAAAAAATTAAAGAAAGAATAAAACTTGGGATTGAGGTTTTCATCAAACTATCTATTATATGTTCATTATTAAAGATGATTAAAAATAAAAGTTACCATAATATATGTATATATAATATAGCTTGCAATACAAGACACCTGACAAAATTAAATGAAGTAAGGTGTCTTATGTAAAATTAACATTGTTATGGCACATGTTAGTAAGAATATTTTAAACTAGCATTGCCCGCGGCAAAAAGTATCCTATATCTTGACCCGGATAACCGGCTATCACCATACCAAATTTCATCAAAGTCCCTCCAGTGGTTTTTCTGTGATATGGTAACAGACAGACAAAATTTTAAAAACTATAGTTCAGCCTCGGTATCGATAATAATGTTTATTTCAATTAGATTTTTCAAAAAATATTTAATGTACAGATTCAGTTTAGTTACAATTTTATTATATGTATAGATTAGTAATAATTTAAATATTTAGTTTTGAATTAATTCTTTTTACTATGTATAATTAAAAAAATATTAATAACGGAAAAATCAAGTCTTTATAAGGGTAACATTAAATCTTCCTTCTGTACTTCTAAAATTCATGTGCCTATAGTTTCGAAAAATTGGAGCCTAGCTTATTATAGCTGTTATTAACTATGAGTTTTGATTTCTTTGCTTGCTAAATAAATGCCCTTAATGTATGGGACTACTCCTTACGAGTCTGTTTCGATCATGATAAATATTTTTTAATCCGTATTTAATATTATAAATGTGAAAGTTTGTGAGTATGTATGTTTGTTACATTTTCACGCCAGAATGGCTGAACGGATGTAGATGAAATTTGGCACAGATATAGATTATAGTCTGGAATAAAACATAGGCTACTTTTTATCCCGGAAAAATGTATGGTTCCCGTGAGATAGGATTGTTTTTATTTTTCTAGAGTCGCTAGTTAGAAAAATTTATAGAATCTGCAATATTAATCAGCCTTTTTGTGACAGAGTCATTCCAGCGAAAGTTATGACGTAATTTAGTTTAGCAGTGGTCAGTAAGTTCGAAGCGGGGCTACGCTTGGACACGTATAAAATCAATGTATGCGAACGAAACTTCGCGATTTGCTTATGCCTGCATATTATAGATATGACTTCCTGAACGTCATCGGTCTTCGAATTTATTCCATTGTTTACTTTACATTGCTGTGTTGGTAATAATTGTTTACTAGGTTTAACAAGGTTGCGTTAAATAATATGCCCACCTTTTTTTTTCTAAATAATACTATATTTGGGTAAAAATAATGTTTTTAGATTTTCTGTGATAAACATCTGTTATACCATTAGGGTGTTACTATTGTTAGATAAAGAAATAGTGTAAAATTATTACTTGAATAATTTATAAATAGCTTTTAAAGTAGATACCTCATAGTAATCATATAAAACGTACATAGGCCTTACATAAAACATGACAAAAATTACAGTTCAATATATAGATTAAGTCCATATATTCATTATAAAACATTATGGTAGGTAATTATTTCTTTGTTATACAAACTTTTTGTGCTAAACTCCAATGAATAGGTTGTTTTGTGAAGCGATCGTGACAATTACGCAGGAAGCTACTATAGGGGTGTGAGAGAAATAGCGATAGGGCCGAGTGAGAAGGGTAGTCGGTTCGATACGCCTACGTAGAAGGGCGCTAGCCTCCGCCTCGTATTTATATAATTTAGTGTCCTACAGATGTAATTGGCTGTAGCACTTGACATTTCGCCCGTGGCTGTAAAAGGAAAAAATTAACTCTACTATGTTATATAAATAATTAGTCCTAGTAAGCTTTTTTAAAGAAATAAATAGGTATATTTTGAGGTAGTTTCGTACGTATATAAATAAATTTGTTTCTAATAACTAAGGTAGTATGAAAATCTGAGAGCGATCTTTTCACGCGTAAAATTGGTTTCTGTCATCCAAAATAATTTGTGCAAAACATCAAGCCTCTGTTCTAATGTTACACGAGTAGTTTTTTGGTAAAAATTAAAAAAATATATAACAAACTAGCGGCTCACACTCGCTTCGCTCGGGTTCGTTTTTTTTAACTTAGTATGGAATAGATAGACTATATTGTATTATTGCTCCGCTCCCTATAGTGTATATCATTCCTCAATAAACTGGCTATCTAAAGCAAAAATAATTTTTGTGGTGTAATTGTGGTGTTTGTGTGGTAATTGTGGTGTTAATCATTATTTTCTCCAAATTCTTCAAAGTGAATAAAATTAGAATTAAATTATTTAACGCTATTATTTTAAAATTGCGAGTAAAGTGATAGGTATTTAATGATCATTCATTTGTTAACGATCAATGATCATTAAATACCTGTCAATATGACGTTAAATTGTAAATTAAGCAATATTAGCATAATATGTCAATTAGAAATGAATTATATTATATTCTTTATTGCAATTTCAAATTAAATATTATAGTAATCAAAATACAATGTTTGTTTGCAACGTTGTACGTTTTTCAGTCAATCTATAATTCTACATAGGTATAATCGCATAGGGTTTGCGAATACCTTGATGATTTGTGTAAGATGTGTTCTTTCGTAGGTAAATGTGATAAAAAAATTTGAAAGGATATCTTCCCCGCACTTAGTACTTGATAAAATATGTAAATACATAAATATAGTTTATGTTATGACTAGCCATTGCTCGCGGCTCCGCCCGCTTTCAGATTTCCAAAAACCATATTGTTAGTTTTTATATATACTCTTACATTGCACTTTTTGTACTTTTTTCTCAGAAATGAGTCATTTTCCCGCGGTAAAATGTATTCTATATGTTGACTCAGATAACCAGCTATCACCATACCAAATTTCATCAAAATCCCTCCAGTGGTTTTTCTGTGATGCGGTAACAGACAGACAGACAGACAGACAAAAAAAAATCTAAAAACTATAGATTCGGCCTCTGTATCGATAATAATGTTAATTTCAGTAAGATTTACCAAAAAATATTTAATGTACAGATTCCGCTTAGGTACAATTTTATTATGTGTATAGTTTACTGAATAATATGTAATGTATATTTATATCAAATAAAATTGAAAATAACTTTTAAACTTGGTAAAAATATTATAAACAAAATAAACCTTATAATTATCCCAATCCTGATACTCTACATCCATCTCATTCTCTCGTAAGTTTCATTTCAGAAGTTTCACTTCCACCATGTGTGAATTGCACACACACACATTTTTTTTTCTAATAATTATGTCGATTCGAACTTTTATTTTTGATTATAATATTTGACATTCATATCCTGATATTTTTTGATTTCAATTACAAACGGAAACCTCTAAATCGTTATTTTATAGGTAAAATTTTTACCATACTTATCATATTTTGCCCTTAGTATCAATATACCTATCATCTCAATTCGATGAAGATGCGCGATAATTGGCCAATTTAAATATTGAGACGACACGTTTTTATTATATCTATAATATGTACCTCTTTATAGTTGATTTGTAGAGTTGAAAACTTGATTTGTTATCTGTGATAAAATACTTTTCGTTAAAAATCCTTTTTTTATAGACATAGGTATTGTGATAAAATACTAGTAGTAAATAATTAAGTAGTTGCGTGTTTTTACCTAAAAACTGTACACTGAATGGCGACCCTGACGTGCCCTATAAACGTAGCTATCAAAGTGCCAGCCGATACACAAAACACACCGACTTTGAAAATATCTGATTGGGTATCTAATATCTATAGTAAATGAAAACTACCAATAAGTATTTTTTACTTTTTAGTATTTTTTTGAATATTTTTTGAGTCTGTTTTTTTTTTTAGTTTTTGTTATTACATGTTATTAAAAAAACATTAAAATAACACACAATTAATGACGGGACACGATTAACGAAGATTTTGCGGAATATATATATATATATATATATATATATATATATATATATATATATATATATATAGACTTTTTAAAGTCGATCAAAGAAGGTTATGAGGGTCGGTCGATGAGATAATAGGGCAGATTTGCCCTTTCTTTGACTCAAGACGCGCGTGTGCCAAATTGCTTACTTTTTGTGATTAGTTAACCAGGGATAAGATGTTACCAACTATATTATGTATCTATCATGAAAGGATAAACAAGTTTCAAAGTTAAACTTAAAATATGAATGCTATCATTTAATTAAACTTTTACAAGCACTGTTGAAGCACATTTAGGTATATTTACAAAAGCCAGTCAATATGCTTTACTTTTTATAAGAAGTGTATTAAAGTTGAAATTTTTTACTAAATTTAATTTGAGCAGATTTCAAAGATAAATTATATAGGATAATATAAAACGATTATAATCTTTTGCTCCTTATCTAATCATGAAGGGCGCGTATTTTCAGTAAATTCTTTTGTCCCGTTGTTTCTATAAATGACATGAAATTTCCATAAAAAAAGGAGCTTCTGAATAAAAGAGTTTCAACTGTAAAATGTTCAGGTGACAGTAAAAATATAAAATACTAGCTATAAATATAAAATACTAGCAACTCACCCTCGCTCCGCACGGGTTCGTCCGTAGGTACATTTTAACGATAAGTATAGATT